CCGTCGTCTTCAACCTGTCTTAAGGTACAATTTTTTTTCTTCTGCATCTTTCTTTTTTCGGCTTGTGATTTTCTGATTTTTGTACTCATTTGTTGAATAACTGGATTGAGTTTAATGGGGATATGAAAACAAGCTATAAATAATACTATTGCTTGTCCTATTCTTGATTTTTAACAGTAAGTGCACTTGTTTATAAAGAAGCAAATTCAAGGTTTCTACTGCTTACAGAATAAATAGAAATTGATGGGGAGATTAGTGGGTTAAAAAACAATTATTTATAGTTCCTATGCATTTCGTCTTATGTTAGGCTTTTATTTTATTATGTTTAACCCTTTTTTGTAATTAATGTGTTGATGTCTTACTGTTGTGATATTTGCAAACAAAATTTTGATAAATACCCTTTTAAATAAATTTGCAGCTATGCCAAGATTAAATTTATCAACAAAAAAATTAGCAAGGCGAAAGAAATATATAGCAATGTTGTCGTTTTGGTCGAGCATAATGCAATTAGTACATTGGTTTTGGCACATTGCTCTTAGATATATGGAGAATCATACTAGGTCTATTAGTTTGAGACCAATGTATCAATATAATTTTTTTGAGAAGAGAAAGTATATGCAAAAGATAATTTACAAGAGTGATCGTAACTGCAAAAAGGTAACTAGGATGAATAGACAAACTTTTGTTCATTTATGCTCTAGATTGGAAGCCACTGGTATAGTTTCCCCGACTAAAAATATGTTAGTGGATGAACAAGTTGCTATAGCGGTTCATATTTTAGCGCATCATCAAAAACAAATAATTATAGGCGTCAATTTTGAGCGTTCTGGAGAAACAATCAGTAGGCATTTTAGAAAAGTGATAAATGCTATTATTAGACTTCAAGGGGAATTACTTAAAAAACCCGAGCCCGTACAAGATGACTCTACGGATCAAAGATGGAAATGGTTCAAGGTATGCTATTTAATTTTACATATGAAAATTTAATATAAATAATGTACTTATTCTATTTTTATAATGATAGGGGTGTTTAGGAGCTCTCGATGGTACGCATATCGAAGTTCGCGTACCATTAGATGATAAACCTAGATATCGAACGCGTAAAAGTCAAATTGCTACTAATGTATTAGGAGTGTGCTCTCAAGATATGCAATTTATCTATGTATTGCCTGGCTGGGAAGGGTCGGCTGCTGATGGTAGAGTTTTGAGAGATGCTATTAGTAGGACAAACGGTTTGGTAGTTCCTCGTGGTAAGATCATACATCTAACTTTAAAGAAGGGTAACATAATACATTAATAAGAAAAAATTAACTTATTATTATTATATAATTTGAAGGTTCGTATTATCTTGTGGATGGTGGATATACCAATTGTGAAGGATTTCTTGCACCATTTCGAAGTCAAAGATATCATCTCAACGACTGGAGTGAAAGACACCAACCTACTACTGCAGAAGAATTATTCAATATGAAGCATTCTTCTGCTAGAAATATAATAGAGAGGTTGTTTGGTTTGCTAAAGAGTCGTTGGGGAATCCTTAGAAGTCCCTCGTATTATCCAATAAAAATTCAAAATCGCATCATCATGGCCTGTTGTTTACTACACAATTTTATAAGGCGAGAAATGGGTGGTTATCAATTAGAAAGTGATGATGATCTAGAAGATGGTGAAGGGGAAGAGGGCATGGAGAGCGAGAACGAAGATAGTGAAGATGAATATGACGATGAATATATAAATGTGATTGAGCCGTCTAACGAATGGACTACTTTTAGAAATAATTTAGCAGTTAACATGTTCAATACTTGGACAACACACAGAAATCATACATGACTTCTAGATTTTGTATGTTGCATTTTAGTTGGATAATAATTTTATTGGTTACTTTTGATTTTTGTTGGTGATATTGTTTTAGATATTTTATAATGTTAACTATGATATTCATGAAATTATTTTTTTTGAATTTACTATGTTTATTCATTACCATTTGTTTTGTAATTTTGTATGGCTATTTTCATAAGGATGGATACTCAAACCCAAGATACAAGAGGTCGTGGTAAAAATAAAAGAAAATGGAAGTATGAAGAAGATGCCAAACTTGTTCAAGTACTTCTTGATATGGTAAATCTAAGATTATATAAAGCTGAAAATGGGTTCAAGCCGGGCTATCTAAATTATGTGGAGGAGAAAATGCAAGCTTTTTTGCCTAATTCGGGTTTAAAGGCAAAACCACATATTGAATCAAGAATTAAGACCTTAAAGAAGGATCTTCATATTGTTTACGATATGCTACATGGCTCCAACACAAGTGGTCCCGGTTTTGATCCAATAAAAAAATGCCTTACAGGTGAAAAGGCCGTATGGGATTCATATCTTCAGGTTTGGTATTTAATTAATTCTATCGCTTTACTTGTTGATTATGCTATTGTACATCAGTAATGTTTTTAAGCCATAAAAGTTGCATGAAGGTTGTTAATTATATAAATTTTTTTTTTCCTTTTCTCCCTACGAAACAGTATCAAAATGCTTAATTGTTTTACTTTTCTTATTAAACAATGTAAATATATTATAATTTTTTTACTTAGCATGATTTTTTATGGTCATGAGTTTATATATTTTTATATTGAAAGTGAAAAGATGTTTTTGCTAAGGTGTCTCATCTTGGTTTTATGTCTTTGAATTATTTTAGCTCATTGTGATTTTGTTGTTTTTATTTTTTTCAGAGTCATCCTTCTCATGCAATTTGGCAAAACAAATCATTCCCTTACTACGAAGACTTGGTTGTTATTTTCGGAAAAGATCGGGCAACGGGAATAAATGCTGAAGGTCCGGCTGATATGATGGAAAATATAGAAAGAGAGGAGACTAACAATGCAGATACCGTTAATGATGTTGATTCGACTATGGAACCTGAACTTGAGGATTTTGGTGCTTATAGTTCATTATCGCCTATGCAATCTCCAAGAAGTCAAGGAACTCATAATCAGAGAAAGAAAAAAAGGAGCAGAAGCTCCGAAAACGTGGCAATAATGACAGATATTAAAGATGCAGCTGCAGTTATTGGAAGTGAAATTGCCAAAGCCAGTCAGATCTTTGGAAAAGCAATTGGAGTTGATGCTGAAATATCTGAGAAGAGGCAAAAAATTGATTCTGAGATAAGAAATATTTCCAACCTCACTGTAGGAGAAATTATCAAGGCCGTTTGTCATATAGCGCATTCTCACGAGTTAACTGATGTGTTCTTTAGTATGACCGAAGAAGGAAAAGAGCAGTTGGTTAAAGCTATTTTAAATGGTGATGTTTAAAGTTTTTTTTCATTATTGTTCATACAGTATTACAACCTTTGAAGTTGTTTCTTTCTGGATTTTGGTTCTTTAGTTGTTTTCTTTTATTTTTATTGTTCGTACATTATTAAGACATGACTATTTAATGAGTATTTAAATAACTTCTACTGTTATTAATCATCACTATTATTTTTCTTATGATTGGTGTGTTTCATTATTGTAATTGTGTTCTACATGTTCATGTTGTACTCGGTTTTTTTTTCTTTAGTTAAAAATGATAACAACAAATAATATATTAAGAACATTAATTGAATTGTAAAAAATGTTTATCACAGGATTTTTAAAAATAATAAATTTAAAAATCAAGACAGTAAATAAAAAATATTAATAATTTTTTTTTAATTAAAGGATAATTTGGTCATTAAAATATTTTATTCCATTCCGCTGCATTTTATTTAAGTTACCAATCATGAGATTTATAGAAGGTAAGGGATTAGATTTCATTCCTTTCTTATTCCTAGTTTATACCAAACATAGGAAATGGAATAATATTATCATTCCTTTCCCATCATTATTCCATTCCAATGCTTATTTCATTCCTATCTTATTCCTTTCCTGCGTACCAATTGTGCCGTTAGTCTAAAATACCCTCCATAATATAATTCGTATCAATTCCATCCATTATGCTCTAACTTCCTTAATATTACACATTGACCACGGATTTAAACAAATATATCACATTAACCCCCAAAATAATTTTTTTTTTCAGAAAATATTTTTTTTCTGAATTTTTTTTTCCGGCCAAATTCCGGCGTTGACTTTTTTTTTTTTGAATTTTTTTTAGAAAAAAATATTTTAATTAATATTACTGTCTTGGCTACTAAATTACTGTCTTAGACAGTAATATTATTGTTCGGGACAGTAATATTATGAATATTACTTTCCCGAACGGTAATATTATTAATATTATTGTCAAAGACAGTTAAATTACTGTTGGAGACAGCAATTTAGCAGCCAAGGCAGTAATATTAATTAAAATATTTTTTTTAAGAAAAGAATTTCAAAAAAATAAAATAAAAAGTCAATTAACATTTAAATTATTGTCCCCGACAGTTAAATAACTGCTGAAAACAGTAATTTAGCAATGAAATAACTGCTGGAGACAATAATTTAGCAACGAATACAGTAATATCAATTAAAATATTTAAAAAAAAGTCAATTAACAGTTAAATTACTATCTCCGACAGTTAAATAACGGCTGGAGACAGTAATTTAGAAGCAAATACAGTTATATTAATTAAAATATTTTTGAAGAAAAAAAAAGTCAATTAATAGTTAAATTACTGTCTCCGACAGTTAAATAACTGTTGGAGATAATAATTAGCAGTCAAGAAAGTAATATTAATTAAAATATTTTTTTAAGAAAAAATAAAATTATAAAAGAAAAAGTCAACGCCGGAGACCCGTCGGTCAACAGTTTTTGACCGACCGGAAAAAATTTCAGGAAAAAATGGGTTTTCCAAAAAAAAAAAAAAAAAGAAAATCAACGCCGGAGACCGGCGGTCTCCGGCCTGCGGTCTCCGGTGGTGGCGGGTCAAAATTGGGGTCAAAATTGAAATTATGGTTAAAATTGGTTAATTGATGAAATTTGGCTAAATTGGGGTGTAAATCATGACATTTGAGTTGAATTGGGTTTCAATTAATTGGGGGTAATTTTGGTATATATAAAAGGATTTTCCTTATTTGCAAATAAGTTTGAATGAGCTGGATTTATTTGAAAGATAAAAAAGTTGGATGTATCTCTTTTAATTAAGTGCCCTTGTCATGAGCCTTTTTGTGATTAACCCAATTAAATATATTTACTTATTTATTTTATTAATATATTTATATCCTACCATTTATAAAATGTTCTAAATATATCAATTTTTCTCAAATTCTAAATAGTTTATTTTTGAATTTGATTTTAATGGTAGTTAATATAAATAATATATAAAAGCTGAATTCCACCAATTGCTCTACATTTGGCAATTTCAGTTGATGACATGTATTCAATTTCATCCCATGTGTCAAAGTGATTTGAAATAAATCATCAAAAAACATGTCACCATTCCAAAATTAAAGATAATTAAATATATTTACTTATTTTATTAATATATTTATATCCTACCATTTATAAAATGTTCCAAATATATTAACTTTTTTGAAACTCTAAATAGTTTATTTTTGAATTTAATTTTAATGGTAATTAATTTAATTTGAATTTAGTTAAATTCAATTTAAAATCTTTTAATATTATAATGGGGTTTTTGTCTAACCAAGCATATTTGTTATTCTAGGTTTATGGGCTATATCTCTTTCACAAATAAACGCATCCCTTTAATATTGATTATAAACAAAAGAAACATTCATGTATATGCCAATATTACCTACAACCTTTTATACCAAATTCTTAATTGTAACCCTAATTTAATCAATTTTGTCCACAAAAATCCAATTTTGATTTTTTTTTCAAAAACTTTTTTTTTAAATTTTTTTTGCCACCGGTCTCCGGCGTTGACTTTTCGTTTTTTTTTTCCTTCCGGATTTTTTCGCCGGTTTCCGGCGTTGACCGGCGGTCTCCAACGTTGACTTTTTCTAGTGTCTTTTTTTTTTTTTTTTTTTTTACGTCGGCCACTAAACGTTGACCGTAATTGTGCTGTCACTGACAGTAAATTAACGTAATTATACTGTCAATGACAATTAATTAACGCAATTGTATTGCCGTTGACAATACATTTATGTAATTGTTCTGCCGTTGACAGTAAATTAACGTAATATTATTATTTTTAATTTTTTGTTATTTTTTTAATTTTGTTTGATTTGTTGACAAGTCAACGTAATTATATTACTGTCGTTGACAGTAAAATAACTGTAAACACAATAATATTACTGTCAACAACAACATCAATATTATTATTTTTTGAGTTTTTTTTTGTTTTGTTTGAGTTATTCACGGAGTAACGTTGACCGGCGGTCAACGCCGGAAATCGAGACCGGCGAAAAAATCCGGAAGAAAAAAAAATTGAAAAGTCAACGCCGGAGACCGGCGGCAAAAAAAAAATTGAAATTTTTTTTTGAAAAAGAAAGTTTTGGGTCAAAATTGAATAATTTGTGAAATTTTGGGTCAAATTGAGGTTAAATTAAGTTAAGGATGAAATTGGAGCATATTAAAGTATGAGGGACTGTTTTAGTCTTTTACAAAAATCTGACCCATGTGTGGACTTATTGGTAAAGGAGTTTTTTGTCTAGATCTCTTTATGAATAAGTACCCATTGATGTGCTTATTTGTAATGACCCCTATTATAATTGCATGATTGGTGATGTTACGGAAATTTTGTATTTTAATTCATAAACTTGAATTAGATTAAAAAAATATTGCAGAATAAATCATTTGATATTATATATTTTACATGAACATGACCAGAGAATATGTTTTCTTTTTTACTAGTTGAATCTTATATATTAATATTAGCTGTATAAAAGAAAGATACACGTTCGAATTTACTATATTGTGAAAATTGGCACTGTTACAGTTTATATACTCCCAATTATTTACCATATTGAAAACTA